CTACACGACGCTCTTCCGATCTCCCCAAAACCCCAAAACCCCATTGATAGAAATAAGTTTAGAAATTATATCAAGAGAATTTTTATTGAATAAATCTTTTTTGCAAAATTAACAATACATTGAGTCTGATTTTAATAATATAGTTATGGAGAATTGATTTCCATTCAGTTTGCATTCATTGGTTTAAATGCTTCATACATTATAAGGGAGCATCCATCCATAAAGTCTTTCCAGTATTCTTGGTTTTCTGTGTCTTCGAATAGCTCCATTTCAACCCATCTGAAGTTTATAAATCCAAGTTTCTTGAATATATTCTCATAGTGCTCAGCTGAGTACCAATAGAGTACAAGAGAAATATCCAAGTCTGCATCTTTGTCCTCAATTCTGACAATATACTTTGATGAATTTCTCTTGAAATAGGTATCTGGATCTGTGGTGAAACTTCTACCATACTTGTGCTCCTTTAGTAGGGCGTCTGCTGGAACCTTAGGACTGGAGCCCATACCGCAAACTCTGCCTCCTGGTTTGCATAAATTCCAAATATTTCTAATCATTTACTCAAATCTCTCTTCAGTCACAGCATTTTACAACAGAAAAGTAGGGGTCACCAAATCAAACTGATAAGGTATACCACTGATTGGAAGGGAACAGTCAGCCTGTCTATAGTCTATATCATCAGAGTCGTTTAGTTGCCACTTAGCCATCTTGATGAAATTCTCACAGTAGTCTAGTCCAAAGACTTTTCCTTAAGTCATTTCTCTCATTTTTCTAGTGTAAAAACCTTCTCCACAGGCAAGGTCTATGACGTCTTCATTAGTAAGTTAGCCGACTAGATTCATGAAGCTTGGAGTCTCAACAAACTTCCTCCAAGGAATCAGCTTAGACTTCTTGTATTTCTCAACAATTTGAGCATAGGTGTCATCAATTTATTCTTGAGTCTCTCTCTTTCTCGAGGGAGACTCCGGTAGGCTTTCATCAAATCGCATCAGCTCCATGAGGATAATAGGAATAATTTAAAATCTTAATATATAACTAGATTTCACAAATCTTATTAAGATTTGTTATCCTTGGGGTTTTGGGGTTTTGGGG